AGCTCTTGGTTATCAGATAATCAGTTAATCAACTACACTATTACATCCCTAATAAGTGCCTGTCTGCTCTATTCTTTTGTCTTTGCCTGTCTGCTCTATTCTTTTGCGTAGGAAGTGGGAACTGAAACCACCTAAAATTGCTGCCCTTATGCTTCTGAGACCAGGATTCTGCAAAGTTTGAATGGTTGGACTGTCTTTGTGAGTAGAGGAGAAAAGAGGGTGATGCTGCAAGACATAATTCACAAGTAGTGTCTTCATGATTGCAAATTAAACCTCACATATGAAGGATTAGGCCAAGAACCCAAGACTTACTGTGCCAAAATGACAGATGTCCCTCCGCTAAAGGAAGGTTTTCCTTAGCAGTTATTGTTATGACAGTGCCTGAGGATCAACCAAAAATGGGCCTCACTGTACAAAGTATAGACACAGACACTGTATAGACATAGACAGTATAAGCAACATGGAAAGAAAAATGAAAGGAAAGGAAAGGGGACACTGTAGGGAAGTTGAGCGAGATGGTCAGGATATGGAAGAAGAGCTTATCGAGGGGCAGGGTTGGAGTGAATGTGAAGGAGGGGAAAGATTGCACCAAACAGCCAGGGCTGGCTTTTGGAATGCGCTGTAGGGGCAGCCTACCAAAGAGGGCACCATGCACAGGGTTTGGATTAACTGACTTATTCATTTTTGGCCCCACCTCAGAGTGTGACCCACAAAATCCACTAACCCTGGAACCCCAGAAGAGTTAATCTGATCTGAGGCCTTGAACCTCAGTCCTACTTACCCTCCCTCCCACCCATGGGGCTGGAGTGCCAGGGAGTGAGGTGTCTCAGTTGGTGCCACATTGGTGAGGTTTTGGAGGGGTTGTTTTTTTGCATCTCAGTTATGTGATCCCCAACTGATTTTTCTGTGGTCAATGACCCCTGACTCAAAACAGGTTCCTCGCCCCTCTCATAAATAAATGCTGAAACATTTTGTGTTGGACATAATATTTTATTTAGAAATGAAGCCTGGCCAACAAGACCCAATTGAGGCCAAGCCCCCATCTGTCCGCAGCATCATAACATTCCTGCACCCCACACAGACCCCAAACCTGAGCCTATCATACACCTAAACTCCCTGCCCTGAGCCCCTCACGTCCCCAAACTCCTGCACCCCCACATACCCAGTCTTCTGTCACAACACTCCTGCACCATCCACACACTGTAAACCTGTATCCTGAGCCCATCATACTCCCAACCTCCTGCCCTGAGCCTCTCCTATACACCAACCCAAACTCCTGCACCCCCACATCCAGAAGCCTGTGGCTTGCTCAGTACTCCAATACTCCACCTGACCCCAATGCTCTCCAGCCTGGAGCCCCCTCCCTGAGCCGGCATCCCCTCCTCCACCTCCTCCTGCATCCAAATTCCCTCCCAGAACTTACACCTCTCACCCCTTCCTACACCCAAATCCCTCATTCTCACCCCAGAGCCCGCACCTCCTCTCTCAACCCAGTGCGAGTAAGGGCTGGGGACGGCAAATGATGGAGAGAAGGAGAACGGAGAGGGCGGGGCCCCAAGGAAGGCGTGGGGTCTTGGGGAAGGAATGGGGTAGATCTTGGCTTGCCCTGACATTTAAAAAGTGATTGTGGGTGTAAAAAGGTTGGAGACCACTGGTCTAGATGGTGCTTGGTCCTGCTATGAGTGGAGGGGGAATAGTCTTGATGACCTCTCAAAGTTTCTTCCCATTCTACTGTTTTATGATCATCAGCTGCGCTCTCCTGCCCTCTCCTTACGGAACCCAATCAGGGAAAGTGACGTGTATGCAAGAAGCCACGACCTCACTCTTACTCTTGTCCTCACAGGCCCCTTCGGCTTCATGGGGCAGAGGAGCAGTTGTCCAGTGGGACAACAAGCAGCCATGCCAGCCACTTTGTGCATCTAGGTCACTTCCCTCACCTGGGTGCAGAGAGAGGATGAATGGGTTAGGGGCTTAGGAGGGGAGTGTGAGGAGGTCTGTTCAGGGTCTAGGGGCACAGGAGGGAGGTGAAGGTGACACAGTGCAAGGGTTGGGATGCAGGAGGGGAGGGCAGGGGTTGGGATGCAGGTGACACAGTGCAAGGATCAGAGGATTAGGAGGAGGTGCAGGGGGAAGGAGTGAAGGAGTGCAGGTATTAGGAGGGTACAGGTATTGGGGTGCAGGAGGAGGGTAGGTGTTGGCATGAAGAGGGCACAGTGTAGGAGTTAGGAGCACAGAAAGAAAGTGCAGGGATTAGGGGGTCAAGGTGGCAAAGTGCAGCAGTTGGGATGCAAGATGAGGGTGGGGGGTTGGAGTGAAGGAGGGAGTAGGCAGGCAGGGAGTACCGGGGTTGGGGCTAAGGGGGCACAGTGCAGGCATTAGGAGTGTGGGGAAGTGGAGGGAGAAGGAGTGAAGGGGTGCAGCGAGTAGGAGGGTACACATGTTGGGGTGCAGTGAGTAGGAGGGTACACATGTTGGGGTGCAGGAGGGGAGGGCAGGGATGAAGGGTGAAGGGAGCATGCACAGTGTAGGAATTAGTGACCCAGGAGGGAAGTGCAGGGGTTGGGTGAAGGAGGTGCAGTGAAGGAGTTGAGGTGCAGGGGTTAGGAGATAAAGGTAGTACAGTGCAAGGGTTGGGGAAGAGAGGGTGGGGAGCTGATAGATTGCCAGGGCCAATGGGAGGAGTGCCATGCCCATGGGAGCCAGGGGCACTGAAGTGCAAAGTTCACCCAAGGGTGCCATTTTCCTTAAGGCTGGTCATCACAGGACAGAGGAAGTCAAGTCAAAACTATAGTAAGTCTCTGAATGTTGGAAGGTCTCTGCTTTGGCTGCTTCTGCAGAAGGACCCACTGGCTGGAGTGTTTGGGCAGTTCCTCCGCAGCTTTTCCCTATACTGCATGGTGGGTAGAGGCACCATCTTAGATCTCATTACCCTATGTGTTTGTGTGTCTCTCCCCTACACAGTTCCAATTCCAGAAGTCTGTGGGACCACAATTCCCTCCTCCCTAACAGTGCAGCAGTCCCTACTTTGGCTGCTTTTACAGCTGCTTCTACTGGCATTTATTGATTGATTGTAGTACTGGGCTGACATAATCACATACACCTGGGTCTGTCTGACATGGTTGCCCATAGATGCGTGTACATTACATAGGGCATACTCACTGTTAAACAAAAGTCTCACAACAGAAGCATTGAAGTCACTTCGTCATGCTAAAAATGCCCATGCTCAGAGTGCGATCTGAGATGTACATTTTTGGTCTTGACTTGATTATAGACCATTGCTGGATGGATTTTTTTATGACTGGTTGTGGTGATGCAGGGAGGAGGGTTGTTTATATATCCTGTTGTGGTCAGTTTGATTTAATGTACAACTGCGTGTGAATAATTGCATTAATTTCTGAACACATCATTCCCAGAAAAGTTTTGATTAAATCAATGTAACAAACTTCACAGAATAGCAGCAAAAACGATTAGGGAGATTGAGGGATTGGCTTGTGAAGAAAGCACAACTACCCACGGACATGTTACAAATATTTGTAAACACCAAGACAAACTGTCTGTATTCAATAAAGCTCTTAAGGAGTTAAGCACATTCTCAAGTCTCATTGACTTTATTGTGATTTAAGCACATGCATATGTGTCTTGCTGAATTTGGAGTCCAAGGAAGTAGAGGAATTGAAGTCAGATCCTATTTCTGTTGAAGTCAGTGGTAAAATTCCAGTTGAAATCAACAGCAGAAGAAGCAGGCACTTATTTGAGATAATAAGTGGCATATGACAAGAAGAAAAGGGAAAGAAGGAAAGCTTAGTTTGAATATCAGGTAGTGCCTCCCGACAATTAGTTCTCTATTATGCTGTGAAAATAGGTTCCCAAGGGAGGTGGCAGAAGATTCATTTGGGAACATTTAAAACAAGGTTGATGTTACACTGGTTAGTTACAAATTAATTGTAAGAGAAACTAGTTGGGACCTTAACAAGTAAAGATGGTCAGAAAATACTTCATTCCCTCTCATGAAACATTAAGAGATAAATGTTTGGTTTTCACAGAAATTTTCAATAAAATATTTTGACTTTATCAGAAACAAAAGCTAAAAAGTTTTTTTCCCCAGTTTTCTGACGAAAATAGAGAAAACAGATGCTGTCATGAAAATGTTCGTTTTGTGAAAAAAACCCAATTTTTTTTCTTAAGGACGGTAGGAAAAAAAGTTTGATGGAAAATTCTCAAGCAGACCCACTAAAAGGCCTCTCATTTGTATGATTCTATGGATTTCCAGTTGCATTTAATCTGTATAAACCCAGGTACAACAGCCGTGGAAATTTCATAAATGATTAAATACAAATCAAGCAGAAGGAGACATTTGCAGTGCTTTTGTCCTACAAAGTAGCTAGGTAACAGATTGATCTCAAGATTATTATTATTATTTATTATTTCATGATTGAATGCTTTTGGACTTCTTATGGCATTTTGAACTTACGGGCATAATATACAAAGAGTTACTCGTGTACTTCTTGCAGAGTGAAGCCCTTCGTTAAGTGGTGTGAACATTGTAGTTTTGGGCTCTGCATGCCTGCTTTCAGCCGTATCTCTTTTTGACTGAAGAGGGCATTAGTTTGGGTGATGGCTTCAGAGTGAGAGCTTGAAGTGCTGGAGCAAGCTCTAATACTTTCTGACAGTTTTACTGAGAAATTAATTTTGTCCAGTAGGCAGGACGTTAGGTTTGAGTCACTGTTTTGGCCTCCGTAGCACTGGGCCATGGCTTAGTTGGGAATGAAACATAAACCTGAGTGTAACGTTTCTGAGCTTGACAGTTCTTAGGTTTCTATTTAAGACCTTGTCTGTCTGAGTTCAAACTTCTTCCTCTATAGAGTACCACACCCATTTCCCTTCTATGTAAAACAGAGTTAACAAGCATCACCTGCCACAATTATTATTTAGTGGCTTGGAGAGTGGCTTATCTTTTCATTTATTGGTCACAAGAGAGAGCTATTACTTTGTATTCCCAGGAAGCCTGTGTGATGAGAACACCAGTCAATGCTATCTGCTCCCAGTTTTGGATACTGTATTTGTCCGGAGAAAGTACAGAAGATGTGGCCTGGGTATGAAAATGCTGCATGATTTCTGTCAGTCATTTGTGACCGAAGATGCCTTGGGGATCAGCTGCCCTATTTCTGCTGACATGTACCAAGGTAAAACACTGGATATGGAAACATTAGGTAAAAGGCTGTGAATAATTTATTCATTTCATAAAAAACATTGGAAGAGGCTTCTTGGATGCAGGAGAGAAAGTTCAGTGCAGTGGAATGAACACAAATATAATGTCCTTGGTGTGTAGTCTTTCTACAGACACATGGAGCTTCCTGTGGGGAAGAAGTTCAGGAGTTTTCATAAGATATTGAGTGATAGAAACTTAGAATGATATTTGGTATTTACACTTATATAATTATTTCTAAGAACTGGATTGATGGCTTTGGAATCAAAGAATGAATTGTCCACTTGCTGTTTGACTGGAAAGAAAAAGAAGAAATTGTGTGGCTGTCTGTAGGCACAAACATGCCTCATCTGTGGTCCTGATACTTTCCCGATCAGTTGCATTTCTCTGGCTCCACAACTGAACTGTGCCCCCCCCTACAATCCAACTTGCACTTCTTTTTGCATTCCAAATTTCTGAGTGGCTTCTGAACAGCCACAATATTTTTAAAAATTACTTACAATTTCCACTCAGTGGCCTGTACAGTTGGATTTGTGGTAACTCAGGCATGCCTGGCAGAATGGCTGACTGATTTTGCCAGGCCCTGAGCAAGGTGTGTGGAAGCCAGCTCCCCAGCCCCTCCCCTGCCCCCGGAAGGGACAGGGAATTGTGCAGAAAAGGTGGGGATTGGGGGCAGCCTCCTTTAGGCAGCTCTTCAGCACCACTTGTTGTGTGCTGTCTAGAATGCCAATGGTGATTAAAAGGGCTTGAGTCTCTCATTGCTGCCATTTCTGCTGTAGCAGCAGCGGCAGCCCAGAGCTCCAGGCCCTTTCAAATCACTTTGCACTGTCCCCTTGCCCCCCACAAATTTCCCTCCCACCCCATTAGTGGGCCTGATGCCTGGAGTTTCAGGTGGAAGCTTACATAAAATAGCAGTTCCTGTCTATGGTGGGCTCCCCATGGATCTGAAGCAATCCTTTGTCCGCAGCAGGCACGGACCTTGCTCCGGCCCCCATCGGTTAACTTGTTAACCAGTTAAAAAGTCACATCCCTAATACATAAATCCTCTATATAAATCCATGGTATGCCCACATCTTGAATACTGTGTATGGATGTGGTTGCCACGTCTCAAAAAAGATATATTGGCATTGGAAAAGGTTCAGAAAAGTACAACAAAAATGAGTAGAGGTTTGGAGCAGGTGCCATATTGAAGAAAGATTAGAAAGACTGGGACTTTTCAACTTAGAAAAGAGGAGACTAAAGGGGATATGATTAGAGGTCTATTAAATCATGACAGGTATGGAAAAAGTGACATAAGAAATAGGGGGTCACCAAATGAAATTAATAGATAGCAGATTTAAAACAAACAAAAGGAAGTATTTCTTGACATAGCGCATAGTCAGCCTGTGGAACTCCTTGCCAGAGGATGTTGTGAAGACCAGAACTTTAGCAGGATTCAGAAAAGAACTAGATAATTCATGCAGGTTAGGTCCATCAGTGGCAATTAGACAAGACGGGTAGGAATGGTGTCCCTAGCCTCTGTTTGTCAGGGGCTGTCAATGGATGACAGGAGAGGGATCAATTGATGATTTCCTGCTCTGTTCACACCCTCTGGACCATCTGGCATTGACCACTGTTGGACAGGATCCTGGGCTAGACGGACTTTTGGCCTGACCTGGTATGTCTATTCTTATGTTCTTACATATACAGATTAACAAGACTACCCCTGTGATACTTACACATATAGTTGTACACTGCTCTCTTTGTCTGAAATGTATACAACGTGCATACTACTGGTACATCCTAAAAATTAGTTTTTCATCTCTGGTAGGTTTGGGGCTAAGGTTCAGGGCTAGGACTGTCTTTACTTGTGTTTACAGAGTGTGTAGAACAATTGGTCCCTGATCCTGACTGGGATCTCTAGATCTCACTGTAAACATAAATATTAAATACCAAGGGTAAAATCCTGACCTTATTGAAGTAAGTGGAAATTCTGCTGCATTAGACTAAGTACTGCAGCCAAGTACCCCCTAAATAGCCTTTCACCAAGTGTGAGCAGGTCTCATGAGCATTTCTTATATAATATTCCTACTCTGTGCTGTACAGGTTTGAAAAGGAAGCAATAAAGCCATGTATCGAATATTTTGCTATCACAGTACTTACCATTCCCAGAATTTCTTGTTCAAGAAATCAATTTGGCTTTCATCCAAAATTAATGACAATGATCTACTTATTATTATGAGGAAGATGTTTACTTACAAGAACAACATGATTTAAAAAAAGGAAAATGATGAAATCCAGTTAAACTTTAAAGATAAATGAGCTTTCCAAACTCTTTCCATGGTATGATGAACTAGGTAAGGTGCAGGGACAGAGTATAAAATGGAGTGATCACAGATTATTGTCTTAAAACTTAACTTGAGTCAGGGGACATGAGCAGGACCTGGTGGGAAGGTAGTTGACAGAAGTTTAAAAATCCCTGTTCAATATAACAAACAGTTTAGAAATGCATCACTTCGTTGTCCTGAAGGGATACACTAACCGCATAAATCCTGTTGGCAGTTTCCTCCCTTTGGCTCTGCAACTAGCAATGAGGAAAGCCTCCAGAAAAGACAGGTTTGGGTTCAGTATGAATAAACAGCTCTAAATTCGAATGCTTATCCAAATCATATGAATATTCTGAATCTGTAGAATGCAATTGGAGTACTAACAGGACCAAGGTTTCTCATGAAAGTTGTGTCTTTACCTCAGTTACACCTGTTATCACTGTCAGATCCTCCTGTTTCAGGCTTTTCTCACTCACCACAATAAGTAAAAGAAAGCTAAATGCTCATCAGCATGTAGTCTCACATTAGGCAGAGGGGGACAGAGCTATCATTAATTTTTTTCCAGAATTGTCCCACTAATTAATGTTCACTGTGACTCTGCAAACTCCCCCAGGATATATATTGTTATTTATTATTTGTATACAGGCAGTCCCCGGGTTACGTACAAGATAGGGACTGTAGGTTTGTTCTTAAGCTGAATTTGTATGTAAGTCGGAACTGGTGTCCAGATTCAGCCGCTGTTGAAACTGACCAGCAGCTGACTACAGGAAGCCTGAGGCAAAGCTGCTCTGCCCCGGGCTTCCTGAAGTCAGCCGCTGGTCAGTTTCCGCAGCGGGTGGATCTGGGGGCAGC